CTCTTTGGGGCTGGGGCTGCAGTGGGAAGGGGAGGGGTGCTGGGTGGGAGCTGAGTCCTCTCCTGCTAAGCAGGCCTCAGGGCTGGGACAGACACGTATGCCCTGCCCAGATTGGCACACTTGGAGCCTTATGCTCCTCTGTTTTTCCTTTTTTACTTTCTTCTTGAGACAGGATCTGGCTCTGTCGCTCAGGCTGGAATGTGGTAGTGGGATCTCCGCTCACTGCAGCCTCCGCCTCCTAGGCTCCTGCCAGCCTTCCTCCTCAGCCTCCTGAGTAGCTGGGACTGCAGGCACACACCACCACACCCAGCTAATTTTTGCATTTTTTGTAGAGATGTGGTTTTGCTATGTTGCCCAGGCTGGTCTCAAACTCCTGAGCTCAAGCAATCTGCCCATCTTGGCCTCCCAAAATGCTGGCATTACAGGCATGAGCCACCATCCCCAGCTGGGGCTTTAGGCTTCTGAGAAGACACAGCTCTTTTTTTTTTTTTTTTTTTTTTTTTTTTTTAAGAGATGGGGTTTCACCATGTTGGCCAGGCTGGTCTTGAACCCCCGACCTCAGGTGATGCGCGTGCCTCAGCCTCCCAAAGTGCTGGGATTACAGGCGTAAGCTACTGCCCCCGGCCAACACAGCTTTTATACATCAGATTTACTTAGGCCAAGAAAAGAAAAACGTTCCAGAACCTGGGGAGGGAGAATTACCGCCCTTGGGCCCTTGGCTTGGTCTGAGCTGCCTGGCAGGCAGGGCAAAGACACAAAGAAGGTGCCCCATGCTTAGGAGAGAGCAATGCAGCTCTACCTCCACCCTTGGCATCTGCGCCCATGTTCCCTCCCAGGACTGAGACTCTGGCCCCCACCCTGCAGGTGTGTCCATAACCAGCTCTGGGCCAGACGCCACACCAGCCAAGGGACTCCAGAGCTGAGGAAGCTTGAGCAGGGCCACCTGGCCTGGAGGAGCTGGCACGGGCCAGGCCCCAGGGAGTGCAGTGAGGCTGTGGTGGGTCCAGCCCTGCTCACAGCGCGCCTAGAGCTGTGTTTTTTCAAAAGCCCCTTGAAGCCAGAACCCTGCCGCCCAACACTGGACATCTGATGCCCTCGCACAGCCTCGCCATGGCGCCTGTTCCTCAGTCTCTTCTCCCAGGCCGTCCACAGCCTGTGGACACCTGCTCAGGACGTTCTGCTGCCCAGGCTGGAGTGCAGTGCCACCATCTTGGCTCACTGCAACCTCCAACTCCTGGGTTCAAGCAATTCTCCCACCTCAACCTCCTGCCTGCTTGGGACTCGGGAATACTGGGCTCCCAGCCAGCTCAGCAGTGAGGGCTTCCAAGGGACCTCTCTGACCACCTGGCTCCCCACCCTCCCTCGGCCACTCCCAGACCGCCTGTGCACCCGCCCCCAAGGCCGCACCTCACCCCTCAGGGCTCTTCTGTCCACTCTCCCTGTCCACTCTCTGGCCAGAGGGCACGGCCTTCATAAAGGACTGGAGGCCTCAATGACCCCGTGGGCTTGGGGAGGAGGCTGAAAGGCTGAAAGGCGGCAGCCGCTTGGGGCACTTGAGCTCCCAGGGCGGGACCTGGGCCTGGACCCCCAGGGGCAGGCAGTTCCCAGAGGAGCCTCCGTAGCTGTCCTGGGCCCTGGCACGAGCCCTGCCCCACCCCCAGCCCAGCTGATGAGATACGGAGACTGAGGTGGACAGAGGGCCTGCCCCAGGCCTGTGTCCCCGAACCCCGGGCAGTGAGGGCCAGGCTTGGGGACCTCACAGGTCTGTGTTGTAGACCCCTGCTCAGGACGGACTCTTGTGAATCAGGAGCCTGCCTTTCCTTCTTCACTAATTCATTCAATCCACAGCCTCCCAGCAAGCCCGACCTGGGTGCCTGTGGCTGCCCTCGCCCGCCAGCTGCATGGTGGCTAGGACCTGGAGTGGGGCTCTCCCGAGTGCTTTGTAAAGGGGGGCTGGTGCCTCCGGCCTGCAGGGGTCCTGCTCGTGAGGGTGGTCAGGCTGGTCCTGGGGTGGTCAGTGTAACCGCAGCCTGGGTGGCGTTGCCCAAGCCCCTGCCCCATTCCCTGGGAGCACTCGGAAGCCTGGCCCTGCCCCTCAGCCCATCGCCCAGCCTGTCTTCGGTTCCTGCCACCTGTTGGGGGAGGTGGCAGGGCTGGCAGGCTGCCCATTCCAGCCATGGGTGCCTCCATCTCCCCGTGCCAGTGCACCCTCCATCGAGGTGGTCAGGGGACAGGGCAGGGGCCCCTTTCCCAACACAGTGGAAGGAGGTGTTCAGGTGCCCCCTCCACGCCTGTCCCTCGGGCATGGTGCCAGCCTCCCCCAGCTCCAAGCTCTCCCCCAGGCAAGGCCTTTGTGCCTCCTTGTCACCCACTGGCCCCGGGACTGCCCCATCCCAGGCCAGGCTCCCTGGCATCTTCCTGACTGCGCCTGCCCAGGCACAGCGAGAGGACATTGCAAAGCGTGCTGGGCCGGCCGAGCTCGGGGCTGGCAGGGACCCTAACTGGGTCGGGGATGGACACTGATGGGCCCTGGTCTGCGGCAGGCATCACGGAGCCAAGGAGAGAGGGAGACCCAGGCGCAAGGTGGGGTGCAGGCGCGGGGGGCCTGGGCTGGCCTCTTGGCATGAGCCTCCGACCACAGGGCTCAGAGTGGTCAGGACCAGCGGCCAGGGGCCACTGCCACGCCTCCTTCACCCTCGCTTTCAACAGGCTGCCTGAGGGCATCACGCCCTGAGGTCTTGGGCCAGGATGCATGAAAACCTTGACTCTTCAAACACCGGCAGGTGTCCCCGAGTGCCAGGCTCGAGACAGGCGCTGGACAGAGCAGGGAAAGGGGTCTCTTCTTCTGGGGCTGGCAAGGGTGGGCAACGGTCGGGCAAAGCCTCTTTGGTGCCACAGTACAGGGCTGGGCAGGGGGAGGGCCAAGTAGGGCAGGGGACTGTGGCTGGAGAAGCGTGGCCTCTGACACCTGTGGGCATCGGGGAGCCCCAGAGGCTTTAGGGGGGAGAGAGGCATGACGCAGTGGAGGCTTTCGGCGGGCCCCTCTGCTGCCAGGTGGTGAGGGCACCCGGGGTGGAGGCCAGTGGTCAGTCAGACAGCTCCAGGCCCGCGCTTGCTCAGGGCCCAGCCCAGGAGGGTATCAGCAGGGTCCCAGAGCAGCTGACACCAGGAACGCTGGGGGGAGGGGCGGGGACAGAGGAGGGGTCCGGAGTAGGGGGCGCTGACGGCTCAATCCTGCCCGTCACCGCTCAATGGGCCCTTGTCCCAAGCCATTGAGCGCTGCATTCCCGGCCCCCTGGCGACGGCCCTGGCCACGGCCATCTCCGGGGAGGCAGGAATGTGGCGGGCGGGGCTCGGGCTGGGGGTGGGGGCTCCCGTTCTCACGCCCGCGGCCACTCTGGCTGACTCAATTGGAATTTAAATGCCGGCCATTGTTGTCCCCAGAATGGCCAGGAGTCAGCGCTGCCCTGGGGGCTTGGCCGGGCAGGACTGGAGTGGCCAACCCAGCTTCCCAACAGGCCCAGGCGCCTCTATAGGACTTTTCCCCAGCCCCTGCTTCCAGGCAGTCCTCCTGGATCTCGTCAGCCCCCTTTCCTGGCTGCCCAGCTCACATTCTTTCTGGTTATTTCTGTCCTGGAGAAAAAGATGGTGGATCGCCCCTACGTGGTCCCTGCCTGGGCTAGGACCTGACTGGGGAGCGCCACCCATGGCCTGCCGTCTCCCAGACCAGCTGGTTCGGTCCCATCTGTGGGGAGCAGCCCTTGCCTCCCAGGGGCTGCACTGCAGCCACCAGGGGCCCAGGATGGGGGCAGGAGCAGAAGGAGCTCAGGGCTGCACTCAAGGTTTCTGGGTACCCCAACCCCCTTGGTGGAGGAGCGGGGGTAGGACGCTCGGCCCACCCTGGGGCATCGTCAGGCCCAGGCTGAGGGCAGCACAGGGTTCTCAGGGGGTCTCAGGTGGTGCTGGGAGGAGCCTCCTGGGGCACGTGTCCCCCTGAGCTCTGGCCTTGTGGAGTTGGGGGATCCCAGGAAGAGAGGTGAAACTCTAGCCTCCCACGTGGAAGGCAGCTCATGGGAGCCGCCAGATTCAGATCACATACTGTGGAGCTCAGATGCACCGGGTGGGTTACTCCCCTGGACTAAGGGTGGTCTCTGGGTCTGAGTCCAAGCAGAAACACCAGGAAGGGGAATGTGGGGATGTACCCAGCTTCTAGGACACACGGGGACCTACCACCCCACCGTTACCTGGCCCGGGCCTGGGGCCTCTGAGTCTATCCTCCCACAGCAGCCAGGATGTGTCACGGGGCACCCCAGCTCCATGTAGGGCCTGCCTCACTTTTGCAGGAGTATGCAAAACCCCCAACTCCCATTCTCACACCCCAAACCCCCCAAACACAGCTCCAGCCCCAGGTAGGGCCCACCCCTTGATGCCCTGGGCTATCTGTTCAGCTCAGGTGCCCTCGGAGCGCTGGGCCAGCCACAGGAGGTACCAGCCTGCTTCCCAGTCCATCCCACACCCCTTCCTCCGCCAGGGCTTCATTCATTTATTTATTTGCTGAACCTCTGACATGTCTGAAAGGGGCCTTTGTCTGCCAGACAATCAATGGCACAAATGGAAATGGATTCGTGTTTGGGGAGAGTCTGGTGTGTGTTTGTAGGTGGGGGGCCGGGCCGGAGACCCATGAAGGGGACTGTAGGCACTGTCGCCCACCCTGCCACACGGCCCAGGCCCAAGCCGTGTGCCCTCCAGGAGTGGCAGATGCCCGTGAGCAGGCATCAGCCCGGCCCAGCCTGGACGAGCGCTGTGCCCACGTGGCAGCCAGGCCCAGGCCACCTGCACAGTGGCCAGTGAGGGCGGGGCTGAGGGACACCCAGTGACAGCTAGACTGTACCACGAGGGCCCAGGGGACAGCCTGCAAGGGCCCTGAGGCCAGGGTAGAGGTTGAGGACAGCAGGGCGAGCTCCCAGCTGAGTTGACCCTCAGACGGGAGGAGGCCACTGTGAGCCGTCACTGAGACTTTTATTGGAGTGAGATGGGGGCCCAGGGAGCTGGTGGAGGAGGCCTGTGATCTACATAAGTTTTTCAAAAGATTGTTTGCCAGCAGGGGCTCTGATACTGGGAGGAGGTGGGCGCGGGTCCCAGAGAGAGGAGACCACCTTGACCTGAGCAGGTGTGGCCAGAGCCCAGGTGTGGCTGGAAGGTCTAGCCACATGGATTTGCTGACTGATGAGCTGTTGGGGCCGAGGCAGGTTCATGAGAAGGGGAAGGACTTGGCTGAGTCCTGCCGCCCCTCACTGCAGCCCTCCCCACGCACACCGAGGGCCACACTACCTCTAGACAGGACCGCCCTGCCTGGCCTCTGCACTGGCACGCTGACTCACGCAGAGCCTGGGGCTACCAGGCCTGATGGAGCTGGCAGGCAGGGACTGTTTCCTGGAGGACTTCCTGGAGGAGGTGTGCTGCAGCTGGAGGCCTGAAGCACAGCTGACAGACCGGGGCAGGTGTGGTGAGGCCTGGTGCCACACCCTGGGCCCTTGGCCTGGTGGAAGTTGGGAAGGAGTGGGAGGCTTCTGCCCTTCCCGGCAGCCGAGCGGCGCTGACCTAGCACTGTCCACGGCGTCTAGCTCCTGCCAGCGCCCAGTGCCCGCCCAGACAGACACGGCCCATTCATGGGTCACAGAGGCACAGCCGAGGACATGTCAGTGGCCTGGCTGGCCCAGCTGGAGCACAGGGCCTGTGGCTGTTTGTCCAGTGTCCACTCATCCACAGCTGATGGGCTTTGTTGGCTGGCTCAGGGCAGCCGGACTCCTGGCTGGTTTTCAGCCACTGACACTGTGGTCTCTGAAGCAAGGGTGCCAGTGAGGGCAGGAAGCTTGGGGACACCGTGGGAGGAGCAGGTTGAGGGAGGAGGGAGCCCCACTGTCCAGGATGTGAGGTGCAGGGAGCTCAGGACCCCAGATATACAGCTGGGGGCTATCCATGGGGGTGCTGGCGGCTGTGGGCCTGGGCAGAGCTCAGGACTCAGAGGCTCCCTGGGTTGTCTATTTATTTTAGAGATGGGGTCTTGCTGTTTTCCAGGCTAGTCTTGAACTCCTGGACTCAAATGATACTCCCACCTTGGCCTCCCAAAGTGCTAAGATTACAGGTGTCAGCCACCACGTCAGAGGCCCCCTTGTGTTGGTGCCCAGGGGTTCCTAATTAAGCCCTTTGAAGCAGCTTCCTCTGGGGATATTGCCCTTGGTCCTTGCCTTTGTCTGGAGATCCACCCCTCCAAGGCCCTCAGGGGCAACCTGCTGCTGTGAGGTCCAGTCACCCCTTGCACCAGTCCTCCCTTAGCCTGCAGTGTTAGGGGCATCCCTGTGCCTTGGGTGACCTGTGTTGGGTCCCAGGCAACCCTGTTCTGCCATGACCTCTAGCCTCCATGTCACCACGCTGGGCCACAGACTAGCAAGGCTCACCTCTGCTTAGAAGTGGCCCACCCTCACGTAGCCTGACACCCCAGGGACCCCCTGGGGGGCTGCAGCCTCCACCCTGCCTGGACCCCCCGGCCCACCCCGGGGGGCTGAGCACAGGCAGCCTCAGCCCCATCCTCTGACCTGGCCCGAGACACACCTGCATAAAACCGAAGCTCTGTCCCTCTGTGTGCTCAGGCCAGCATCTGCGGGCGGCCCGGGGAGGGTGGGGTTGTCCAGAATGTCAGCCCACCCTGTGCCTCTTCTGGGCAGAATGACAACCCCACCCTCATTCTGGGCCTGGGTTCCTTTGTAGTGGCTGGAAAAGGCCAATAGTAGCCAGTGGGCTCAGGGTTTGGACTCCCGGCCGAGAGGCTGGCTGAGCCCTGGGGTGAGCCTGGGAGAGGTGGCCTGGCTGCGAACACGTGGCCTCGGAGATGGACACTCTCACCGCTTCAGCTGCTTCAGTCCAGCCCCCGTGTGCACGCCACTGGGTGGGGAGGGAAAGGCAGGCAGGTGAGGGCCTGGGGGCTTCTGGGCAAATCCCCACAGTCTGGGGCTGGAGACAGGCCACAGAGCGGCAGCTCCGGCAGAGCCTCACGCAACTGGGGCAGAGACCTTCATCAGAGGCAACCCGGACCCCGGGAGCCAGACATGGCCAGGGCCTCTCTCCGAGGGAAGTACGCCGCCGTCAGACGTGGGGTTCAGAAAGCAGCCCAGGCCGACTGGAGGAGAGAGGAGGCAGGAAGAGAGGAGGCAGGAAGGCCAGGAAGAAGCCGAAGCTGCCTTCCAGGCGACAGGTGAGGCTGGGGGCCTCGGGTGAGCGACGTCAGAGGACGATACACGGCCTGGGGGTGTCCACCTCGGTGCAGAGGAGGAGAGGGCCACAAGCACAGCCTCGAGCTCAGGACCCTCCAGCCCAGGGCCGCTGTCCTAGGCCCAAGCTGAGCACACACTGGGATCTGTGCCTGCTGGAATGCACGCTCCTCAGGTCCCCTGCGCTCCCGTCCCGGGCCTGCCACCCCATCACCCACCATCGGCCATGGAGGTCAGAACAGGCTCAGGCTCTGGTCCAGCAACTGCCCATACCCCCCATGAGCAAAGCCTCAGGGCAGAGGGGAGCCTCCATCTGGGCCAATGGGACCCATCCTAGGCAGTGAGGACCAGGAGGAGAGGTGGGGCTGAGGCCTGGGGCCGAGGGCTTAGGAAAGAGCTCCCCAGAGCAGCCGAAGTTGAGTCCGTCTGCGAGCAGAAGGGAAGTGGGTGGCAGGTGGGCAGTGAAGGGCCCTAGGTGGAGGCCATGGCGGGTTGAGGCCAGCAGCCAATTCGAGAGCTGGCTGCTCATAGTCACCCGCTGGGGACCGTCTGGGCCTGGCAGGCCCAGAGGGAGGCAGTGTGAGAACAGCCAGATGAGCCGACCTGAACCCGCCTCCCTCCCGGCCCCCACCCTGACCCAGATCCTGCTGCCATCTGAGCAGGAAGGGAGCTGGGATCTGAGATTGGGCCCCCACAGTCTCAGATGCTGCTACCTGGCAGATGGGAGACCAACACCAGAAAGCCACCAGCCCCCTCTGCCCTGACCCAACCTCCAGAGCCCACTTCTTTCTGGAGGCAGCTCCAGGCCCCCCATGCCGGCCCCTGCCCATATCTGGGGCAGATCAGCTGGGGAGGGACAGGGACAAGAGTTGTGCTAATCCCTGCATCTCCTGGGACGGCCCCGCCAGGTTTGCAGCGGGTGGGGGGTGTCAATCGGGGTTGGGTTTCCCGTTGGCCCCAGCCCAGGCGCCGACACCTGCTTTGGGCGCGACACGTCCATTCTGCTCCCGTCAGAGATAACACCTTCAGCGCTCACCGGCTGTCCAGGGAACAAGGGCTGGCACCAGCTCGAGCCGGGCAGAGAGGTGGGCACAGTGGGCCAGGTTCCAGGGGAGGGCCAGTTGGAAGTGAAAATCCCCCTTCCTGCCTTCCATCAGGGGGCCCAGCGGGAGGGAGGCTTCCTGGAGGGGACATGGGGTGGGAGTGGAGCAGGCTTGGGGGACCCAAGAGGTCCCTTCCTCTCCAGAACACAAGCTGCCTTGGACCCAACTGGCCCCTCATCCCCCAGTCAAACAAGGTGGCCATAGAGGACGTGTGCCAACCCCCATTGCCCTGGGTCCTCCTGTCGCCATGGCCAGGCCTCACCCCCGAGCCCAAGTCCTTGCTCAGGTCAGAAGGAGGTGGAGGCCTGGGCCAACTCCCCAGCCCCCAGCTTCTGCCTGACTCCCGGCCATTGTCATCTTCAAAGCCCTGGGAGGAGGGGCCACAGGCATCTTTGGGTGATGCCATAGGTGCCCGACGGTGGCCTGAGTTCCCCACGCTTTTAGATAGGGTGGTGGGGAGGGGAGGAGCTGTCCCAGGTCTCTCCATCTCTAGATCTTTGGGCACAGGTAAGTGGGTACCCATGCCTCTGCATGGCATGGAGCTGGCTTTGGGCAGTGCCCCTATCCCTGTAGCCCAGTATGAGAGCTGGCTGGTGACAGTCACCCCTGACCCCTGCCTCAGAGACCCTGGCTCTCCCAATACACCAGGCTGCCATCACACAGCCTGCAGGCCTCTTTGCACACTGCTGGCCTCCACGCTGCCAGGCGCCACAAACACCCACTGAGCTCCCTGCCGGGGCCAGGCCCAGGACCACTTATAGGGACCCCTCCCGGGGCTGGGGCCTGTGTTTGCCCAGGGGCCGGGCATTCATGGCTGTGGCGCACGCCCAAGGCATGTGCACACGTGTGCCTGTGTGTCCGAGTGCACAGAGGGGCCAGGGCAGAGTCCCCGGAAGTGCCCTGCTGAGCAGGCCCCAGGCCCCCTGCAAGCCCCAGGTCGGGAAGGTTAGGCACCAGGACACACGTTGCCGGCTCCGGGAAGCCGAGGCCCATGCTCCCGGGCCTCCCATGCCTGCCCCGAGCTCCCCCGTAGACTGCCAGTGGCTCCTCTCTGGGCCTCTGTGGGCTGAGCTGGGGCCTCTGCCTGCCAAGGCCCCCGTTCACCCCCCTTCAGAGTCTGGGGCCCCAAGCTGCGGTGCAGAACTGGAGGGCGGGGGCGGGGCTGCGCCACAAGCCAGACCCAGAGGCCCCAGCAAAACCGCGAGGCCCCAGCACCCAGCCGGCTGGGGTGGGGGGAGGGGTCCCAGCCCACACTTCTAGCCCCTCAGGGTCCCCACACACCCCGCCTGGCCTCCAGACAGGCAACCAGACCCAGAGAGGGGCGGCTACTCCCAGGCCTCACACAGCACACTGGGTGGGGTGAGCAGAGGGGGGCTCCCGGCCATGAGGCGCCACCACAGACACAGGCCCCTGCCCAGACCCACCCGCCGTCCTTACAGCCTCTGGACACTCAGTCTGGCGGGGACCGTCCCTGGGACCCCCCGATTCCTCACCCTGGAGGGTCCTGTGTGCTGCGCCAACCCCCCCCCTGCCCTGGATCCTCCCGTCACCATGGCCAGGCGTCACCCCTGAACCCAAGTTCTTGCTCAGGTCACAGCTCCCGAGTGATCTGAAGGCCCTGGGCAGGGAGAGGTCTGCCAACGCGAAGAGCCCCCAGGGACATCACAGGGCTGCCTGTGCAGTCAGAGGCCAGGCACGCGGGTGGGCCTGACACGTCCCTGGCCCTGCTCCCCCGCTTCCTCTGCAATCCACAACTGCGGAGCCTGGAGCCCCTGGGCTGTGGAGACCGAGGCCCTCACCTGCCCTTTGCCTCCCAGTCCCCAGGGTTAGGAGTGGGGTTAGGTTTCCTCCGAGTGAAAAGCCCGGGGCTCCCCAGCTCTGTGTCCCACAGGAGTCAAGCCCCAGGTGGATGCCAGAACATGCCCCGAATGGCCTTTGTCCCCAGGCCACCGATGCCCATGACCATCACCGTTCAGTGGAGAGGAAGCACTCAGGGAGCTGAGACCATGGGCAGACTCCAGCCCACCCCGAGCCAGTGTCCCTCACCCAGCCTCACTGCCCTCTGGGAAGCTGCACCCTGCCACCCCCTGCCCCATGGTGGGGGTCCCGACTTCCGGGACGAGTCCTGCAGACCCCGTGGGGCTTTTCCCTGTCAGGGGCTTCTCCTGGGGATTGGGCACAGAGTGGGGAAGTCTTTGGGGCTTTTTCCCAGGAATGGTCCCAAGTCACCCTCTCTGAGCCAGCTCCACCCCCACCCGCTCTGCACCCCCGGCACAGAGCCCAGAGGCCCACAGAGCTCATTAGCACAGCAGCGGCCCCGCCGAGCTCGCTTTAATTGGGGCCGGCGGGACGTGAGAACCCGGGGACCCCGTGCCCGGGCCGCAGGGGGAGGGGGCACCCGCCTGGGCTGCCTGCGGCGGCGGCCCGGATTAGCACGAGGCTCAATGGGCCCAGCGAGCGGTAATTAAAGCTGCCCGCCCGGGCTGCCTCAGGGCCCAGGGAGGCTCTGGCGCCCGCCCCGGTTCCACCCCAGAGCCCTCCCGCCTCAACCTGCAGAGGAGCCTGAGCCCACGAGTGCTGGGAGCTGTATTCACCTCCTCAGCAGCCCTGGTCCTTCCTGCCAGGGGGACCAAGGTAGTCGATGCATGCCGGTGTCTGCCTCGGTTTCCCCTTTAGAAAGCTGGGTGAACACAGTCCTGCTAGGAAGTGTCTTGGGAGGTGGGAAAGGGTTGTGGGCGGATCCTAGTCTACTGGTGGGTGCAGGGGTGTGGCCAGGCACTGCAGAACCCTCCAGAACTCCTGCAGGTCCGCCTCCACACTGGGCTTCCTGGGAGCTGCCCAAAGGCCTGGCCAGGTACTAGAAACAAGGCCTGAAGGGTCCAGCACAGACCCTGAATAGGGCAGCCCTTCCGTGCTCTGGGAGGCCCAGCTGAGCCAAGCCTCAGAGGCTGAAGGGCTGCCAACCCCTGGGGACCATGGTTCCTCCTCAGTGTACCTGATATCCCTGCTGTCCCAGCCCTCACCTGGGACCTGGGCCTGGAGGTGGCTCGGGGATTAGACAGAGGCCAGGCTGCTGAATCGTGGGGCACAGCTTCCCCTCGGCCTGACAGCCCTCCTGGGGCTGACTCCAGAAGAGCAGGCCCAACTGACCCAGAAGCTGCCGAAAGTTCCAGGGTCGAAGGTACAGGGATGGGCCTGGCCGGCCGTCTGCTGTCGGTGGGAGGTGGAGGGCGTGGGATCTCCATGGTGGAACGGCCCTCTTGGCCAGTCGCCCCCACATCAACCCTGTCATTACTTGATCGGGTTTCCCGCTGCAAACCCCAGGCTCCTGTGGTTTCTTCAGAGTCACAGGATCCAACCAGGCCTGTTCTCGTCCTGGCTAGGAGAGCGGAAGCCATGGGGGTCTCAGAGGACTCTACCTTTCCAGAGGCGAGGGGGTCAGGGCTGGCCAAAAACTCCTCCAACCACCAAAGATAGGGCTTCTGGGCTCAAGGTCATGACTGTGGAGGCTGGGA